TACCGTTTTTAACTGGTGGACACATTCTATAACAGTTCTGCTGGGGGTTACTTGTTTGTATCGCACACTGGTTTCGGAGGAGCTTCTTATGCAATGGCCATTACTTGTCTCCTACTTCAACCTGGTCAGAAGCTTACAGCTACCCCGAACACAGTTACTTCTAGCTTCGAAGAAGACGTTTCACCTTCACGGGCTTGTGATGGAGAAGCGTTGAGTATGGGAGATTACCGCGACATACTGAGTCTCATAAGAGTCCTTTCTCATGGTCCTCAAAGCAAATCAGACGTAGATGGAATAATCGAACAGTAAGTAAAATCAAAACAAAATCTCTTTTGACATATTTGAATCAACCACATAGCTCATAACTTCATTGTCTTGTGTTGCGTCTTTATAGATGTGCTGGTGCTGGACATTTGAAGGAAGACATTTGTTACTACACCAAAGAACTCAGCAAGCTTCCGAATACAAAAGATGAAGACCGTTCATACATCATGGACATGGGTGTTAAAGCCTTAAGGTTAGTCTACTTAACAGAACCAAACCAATCAGTTCGTTTCAATTTTCTTTCATTACCAATAATTTTTATTTGTTGATTTTGTATGAGCAGGCGCTACTTTTATCTGATAACATTCAGATCATACCTCTACTGCACGTCACCGCAAGAAATGAAATTCTTGGACTGGATGAGGTCACGACCTGAACTTGGACATCTCTGTCATAACCTCAGGATAGACAAGTAATAAGTGTTCTGGAGAGTGTTTCATACATATATAAATGTAGGCAAGTAATGTTGTTTGGTGGTTACAGCTTTTAGTATATATAAGTTGTACAGCTCTTTCTCTCCTATGTTTGGTTTGTAGAGAGAGATATCTCATCTCTAGGTTTGTGTAAGACCCTCCGACTGATACAGCAGCTTACTCTGATCAATAAGCTTTTTCTTTCCCTTTATTCAAAAATATCAAATAATAAAATATAATGAAAAATATATAACAGATCAATTTATAATAAGATCCTCAATTTTTAGCCTTTCTTCGGTGCAAGTTTAGATTTGATCTTTTCAATTTCTTTAGTCCCGATTTGAAATGCTGTGGTTAAGACATGATCTGGAATCGCCGGAGTCGCCGTGAAAAGCGTGGCGGCCATAGATTGAGTTCCCGGTAACTGACTGTTGAACGCTGAGATCACGGAAGCTGGTTTGGTTTTGTCATTGTTCTTCTGGTAATGAACCAGTCCTCTCGGGAAGACGAACACTTCTCCTTTCTTCACCGTCTTAGCGAAGAGCTTGTTCGCCGTAGTGATGAATCCGACGTCAAGCTCGCCTTCCAGCACGAAGATGACTTCGGTGGCGCGAGGGTGCGTGTGCGGCGGGTTTAAACCTCCGGGAGCGTAGTCGATACGCGCAAGGGAGACTCCGAGAGTGTTAAGTCCAGCGATCTTCTCAACGTTAGCTCCGGTGACGGCGGATCCGACGGTGTTGTTAACGACGGCTGGTTTTCCGATTCCGGCGAAGAAGAAATCAGAGGCGGTGATGTTCGAATCAGGCTTACAAGTGAACCCATTCACTTTTATCTCTACATTAAATCAAATAACAATATTTTATAACGACAAGAACAGGAAAAAAAAATACAAAACACTGAGATTCAGATGTCTGGTTACCTGAAGAGCGATCTGCAACGCATAGATCTTGAAGTGTGTCGGGATCGTAAGCAAGAGCAATCACAGTGAGAGATAACAAACCAAAGAAGAACACGTAAGATCTTGAGTCCATGATTTGATGATATGCACTCTTTTAGTTTGCAACTGTGATATCATTATGTCTAACGTTGGATCGTTATATAGATATTGTTTGAATTTGTTGAGGAAAATTATGCAAAAGCTAAACTAACTTAGACGCAAAGCAAAACCGGGTGGAGAGATGCGATGTCGTTTTTTGTACAGATGTAGTATGTAACTTTAAAGTTTCGGTTCTTGTTTCTTCAAGGGTTAAACCGGATTATATAATATTCCAGATCATTAGTTGTAAATGTAGTTTAAGATCAACTAGATTTTGAACCCGCACATCCGTGCGGGTAATTTTTCATTTTATAAAAATATAACAAAATCTTTCAGATATATCATTTACATTTTATTTTTATATTGTATAACTATAGAATCTTATTATTTTAATTATTTTATATAATATATTGTTGTCATTTTTTAAAAATATCAAATATTTTTTTTATATAATGTAATTGTTGTGAATTACAAAAATATATGTCAACATTTTTTGTATAAAAATATTACATGATTTAAAAAAATTAATATGTTTTAACAGTGAATAAAAGAAAATTTTAAAATAAAATATTTTTCTTTACCAATTTAATATATTTTTATATTAATTTCACATAGCATTTTATTTTAATATAATATAGAAAATCATTAAATTATAAAATATACCAATTTTTTATTTTTAATTAACATTAATATATATATATATATATTAATCACGAAATTAAATAATATATATTTTATAAAAATATTTAACTTTCTTTGTAAGATCTTGTTAGATATTTTCTCAACAGATTTTGTTATAAATGAAATTAAAGATAACTTTATAGTTATATATTATTAAAATATTTCTTCAGTAATATATATTTGGTTGATTAATATAAATAATCAAATATGTTATATTAATGAAATAGTCCAATATGACTTTTTGTAGTAGATATAAATGGTACTTCTCTTTTAATANAGATCTTGTTAGATATTTTCTCAACAGATTTTGTTATAAATGAAATTAAAGATAACTTTATAGTTATATATTATTAAAATATTTCTTCAGTAATATATATTTGGTTGATTAATATAAATAATCAAATATGTTATATTAATGAAATAGTCCAATATGACTTTTTGTAGTAGATATAAATGGTACTTCTCTTTTAATATAATAGATGGAAAGATCTCACTTGGAAATATCAATCTAACTGTCAAATCAAGAAGTAGAATTGACATCTTCTACTTCAATGACTCTCATAGCAAGCTGCCAGTGACCTTTAAATAATGGGCTTAATAGTTCTAAGTAAATATTGTTAAATTGGTTAAGAAAATTGGGGGTAAGATGTTATTAAAGCATACAATTAGCTGGAAGTAGATATCCATTTTCAAAAAAGAAGTCAGCCCATTTCGAATGTAGGCCCAATAAGAGCCCAAGGTGCAAAAGCTCTTTCCACAGAAAGAAGGAGATAAGAGCAAACTTGTACGGAAAGTTATATGATGGAAGACGACAAACAGAGCTTGGCGAGACTAGGATCACTCAAAACTTGTACTGATGCTCGACAAATGGCAAAAGATTAAGGAGGGTTGCTGCTATAAAAGAGAGAGAGAGAGACGTCGAGGAGGGTTATCTTCCTCTAAAAAACCCTAAAGTTTCCACCTTTGCGCTTAAAAAAAATGTCTTACAGCGAACCTTACATCTGTAAGTTCTTCTCTACGTTAAAGTGATCAACTTTATAGATCTTAGACACATTTTTGCTTCAGATCTGATATATAATTTCTGTGTTTGTTTGATTGTTACCCTATAAACAAAACTAGAGACTTTGATATGATTTTCATCTGATATTTAATGTCTTTAATGTGAGTTTATTATATGTGTTTTGTTTTGTTTTGTAGTGTAACTGAATCTGTGTCGTTTGTGTGTTCTTTTGTTATTGTCAGCGAATGGGACAGGAGTGTTCTGGGACATGGACGAGTGTAAGTTCCCTGAGGGACGAACCGCAGCTGACCTCGTACCGTTTATTAAACAGATGGTGTCGAGTGTTGGTCTACGCCGTCCTCCTTCCATCCGGATCTACGGTGATTTGACCGGCCTTGACTTTCATCAAGCCTCCGATGATGTTAATGTTAAGCTCAATCATTTTGACGCAGGTTAAAAAATATTTCTCTAGCTAACACTCACTTTTAAAAAAAATAAAATAATCTTTTACTTATTATATATGTGTTAATTAATTGTCAGGGGAGAAACGTGCGAAGATGACGAAAATATTGGAGGACATAGTATCGTGGTCAGGTGAGAATCCAGAACCATCGACGGGGGTACTAGTGTTGGGACACTTGGAAGAAGCAGATGAGTCTGACATCACCGCGGTTACTCAACTTCTCGAGACTCAGAAAAACTATCACTTTGTGATTACCACTCCACCTCCCCCTCCTCCAACCGTGGTCGTCTGTCTCAGGTCTATTCCTCGTGGTGGTCTCTAATAAGTTTAATTTGGTGGCTAATTAAGTTTCAATAAAAAGGACAAAATGTAATTTGTAGTTTCTTATCTTTTTGTTATGAGTTAATGTTGGATAATAATCAAAATCCTTTTTTTCTGGAAACTTTTATGTTATGACTGGGAAGCAAAAAATGATATTATCAGATGTTTAATTTTCAATCTCTTCTATTTTTTTTCCTGTTTTTTTTTCTTTAACTTCCATAAAGCTAAAAATCACTGATCAATAAATGTTTTATCATATATGCATATGATAGAGCTAGTACAATTTTTATCTAAACTCAAAAATGAATATTCAACGACTAACTAGTAGGTTTAATTAACACTTTAGGGAAGAATATATACATAAAATGTCAAATCATGAATTAAAAACCATACCCTAAAAATGTTTATGCCCTTATACTATAATTGGGTTAAGAAAATTGGGGTAAGATGTTATTAAGCATACAATTAGATTTTGAAGTAGATATCCTTTGTTAAAGAGAAGTCGGCCCAGTTAGAATGTAGGCCCACAAAGATTCAACAATCCTAGCCCAAGCTGCGCAAAGCACCTTCTTAAAAGCAAACTGTACGGAAAACTATGATGGAAAACGACAAACAGAGACCTTGGCGAGACTCAGATCACTCGAAACTCGTACCGATGCTCGACACATGTCACAAGATTAAGAGGGTTAATGTTAGTTTGCTATAAATGTGAGACGTCGAGGGTTATCCTCGTCGTTAATTCATACTAAAAAAAAAAAAACCATGGATGTGTTCTCCGCACCTTACGACAGTAAGTTCTCTCACAAAGTGTTCATCAACTTTACAGATCTGGAATTAGTTTGCTTTGGTTTGGTTTCTATATGATGGTTTGAACAAACAAATATAAAATGTCATAGATGTGTTTGTTGTTGTTTGTGTCCGTACGTGTAGTAATTAGTTGCATCTGTGTAATGTTTTTTTTTTTTTTAACACATCTGTGAAAATTGTAATGTATGTGGGTGTTTTTTTGGGGCAGCGAATGCGGCAGGAGTCTTCTGGGACTTTGACGAGTGTGAGATCCCTGAGGAACTCAATGCCCCTGAGGTGTTACAGAGGATGAAACAGAGTCTGTGGGATAAAGGTCATCGTGGTCCTGTCTCGTTCAGGGCTTATGGTGATTAGTGATATGACTGGTCTTGACTTTCAATCCTCCGAAATCAAACTCAATCATTTTCACTCTGGTAATTAATTAAGTAAACAATAATAAACCCCTGCTTTAGTTTTAATTAAAATTTTCTAAAAATAAATCTTTTTTTACTTATACAAACAACATGCGTATGGATGGGTTTCAGGAGAGAAACGTGAGAAGATGACGAAAATGTTGGTGGACATAGTTGCATGGTCAGGTGAGAATGCAGAACCATCGGTGGGGATACTAGTGTTGGGAGACTTGGGAGCCACAGATGATGCTGACTTCGCTGAGGTTGTTGAACTTCTCCAGACTCAGAAAAATTATCAGTTTGTGATTGTGTCTCCACGATCTCCTCCACCCCCACCTCCTCCAACGATGGTCATGATTCTCCCCGCTATTCCTCGTGGTGGACTCTAGTTTTGGTGAAGAAATCATTTTAATTTCAAGAAGAAAGTTTGTAGCTTTTTTATTGTTAGTAAATGTTTGGATAAAAATCTCTAGAGTCTCTAGTAAAGATTGGATAAATCAAATCTTTTGGAAACTTATGTTATGTCTCTGAAGCAAAAATAATTATTAGTAGATGTTTAATTTAATAGTCTCTTCTTCTTGTTTTTTTTTTTTTATCATAATGCAAGAAAATAAGATTATTCAGCAACCAAATACTCCCTCCGTTTCACTTTAATTGTCATTCTAGGTTTTTGCACATAGATTAAGAAAATATTTAATTTTACATATTTTTAAGATAAAAACACAATTTTCTATACACCTAACCACTTTTCAACCAATAGAATAATAAAATATTATACAAAACTAATAAATTTTGCCTCGAAACTCTAAAACGACACTTAATTTGTGACAAAAAAATAAGTCTAAAAGGACATATATTCTGAAACGGAGGGAGTAGTAATTAATATGTTCATACTCATCATATGACAATTATATGGGCTTGACATACATCACATCTATCATATAAACCAAATTATCTTACTTTTTTAAAACATAGATAGCAAGTTAAAATTACACTTGAGAGAAGAGAATATATAAATCATGTATTGTATTGTATTGTATTGTATTGTATGTATATCTATAGACAAAAGCAAAGACAATATCTCATTGGGCCAAAAAGTAAGTAAAATCACACCTGAAAGACAGAAATTCTAAAACTGGGCTTAGTAGGTACGAAACAGGCCCATCAGTCTTAATCAATGCAGCGTAAGTTAGCGTGAGATGTTAACGATATCATCAACTATTCTGTTACTTAAATCAAGGCTCGAGAGGGCAGTTTCTCTTATCTGAAACTAGAGACTGTTGTCAAAGCAAAACTCATCATCTTTTCTTTCTTCTTCTTCACCAATCAAAATGGCTTCTTTGTCTTCAATGCAGATGGTTCACACTTCTCAGGTTCTCAACTTTCCTTAAAGTCTTTTTACATTTTCGACAAGAATCATGTCTTGTTGTTTGGGTTGTCTCTTGTAGATTGTTGTTAAGTCACAGCTCGTTTCAGCAAACCGAACATACCAATCAGTTTGTGTCGGAGCTCGTTCCTCTAGTTCTGCATTGTCTTCAAAACTACACTATGCAGCAAGTTTCCCTCTCAGGAAATTCTCCGGAGCTTATGCAACCATCAAGAACCAAAGAACAGTTTGTGTTAAATCAATGGCTGCTGTAAGATTATTCCCACTAAAAGCATAATAATCATTAGATATATATGTCCCATGTTGATAATGAACTTGTTGTGTTGAGTAGGAGGAAGAAGAAGTGATAGAACCTCAGGCTAAAGTGACAAACAAGGTTTACTTTGATGTTGAGATTGGTGGTGAAGTCGCTGGAAGGATTGTGATGGGTCTTTTTGGTGAAGTTGTGCCTAAAACCGTTGAGAACTTCCGTGTCTTGTGTACTGGTAAGAGCCTAAGTTAATGTATATTTGTGGATAAATAAAACTATAGATTATTGATGAATAATGTTTTGTGTTTATTTTCAGGTGAGAAGAAGTATGGTTACAAAGGTTCTTCCTTCCATCGTATCATCAAGGATTTTATGATCCAAGGAGGTGACTTCACCGAGGGAAATGTAATGTTTTTCTTTCTCCCAAGAAAGTGTTTTTTTTTATGTGACTTTTATTTATAAATTGTGACATGGGTCTTTACAGGGTACTGGAGGTATTAGTATCTATGGTAAAAACTTTGAAGATGAAAACTTCACCTGTGAGTTTTTTACTACTAACAAAGACAAGTTCTTGTTTTCTAGTGTTTTACTTCTTTGAGGTGTCAATGCTTTTGGGTTTTTTTTGGATTTGCAGTGAAGCATACTGGACCTGGAATCTTGAGTATGGCAAACGCTGGTCCTAATACTAATGGAAGCCAGTTCTTCATTTGCACTGTCAAGGTAACAACTCTTTCACATCATCTATAAACTTCTAGATCTAATCCTAATACTAATGCTTCTTTGTTGTTGTTGTGTGTGCAGACTCCATGGTTAGATAACAAGCATGTTGTGTTTGGACAAGTCATTGAAGGTATGAAGCTTGTGAGGACACTTGAAGCTCAGGAGACACGCGCTTTTGATGTTCCCAAGAAAGGGTGCAGAATCTATGCCTGTGGAGAGCTCCCACTTGAAGGTTGATAACATTCATCAAGACCAGTCCATTGTCATTGCCATCTTTGTTTTGTTATTATGAGAGTTTGAAGTTGGTCTTATGTTTCTTTTATTTATGATTACATGAGTTAAAAGTACAATGAAAGGTTCTTTTAATCAAATGTAAGAGTCTTATTATGAGTATCTCTTTTAAGCTTGAACCATGGTTTCAACCGCCACTTGCTGAACAATTGTCTCCACCTTCTTCTCATCTTTGTTGTCTTCCCATAGATCAGGTATAGCTTCCTTAATATTGTGAATGCTGCTTAGTGCATAGTCTGCACCTGGAACTATCACTGANTGAAAGGTTCTTTTAATCAAATGTAAGAGTCTTATTATGAGTATCTCTTTTAAGCTTGAACCATGGTTTCAACCGCCACTTGCTGAACAATTGTCTCCACCTTCTTCTCATCTTTGTTGTCTTCCCATAGATCAGGTATAGCTTCCTTAATATTGTGAATGCTGCTTAGTGCATAGTCTGCACCTGGAACTATCACTGAATCACCAACGAACACTGTTTTGAGACCTGCTGCTTTAGCACTAGCGATGTTACGAACACTGTCATCAAAGAACATCTGAAAACAAAAAAAAAAACATACTTTGACTTTTTTAGTGTCTGAAACTGTGGTAAAGATTTCTTGTTACTTTTTTTCTTTTACCGTTTTGCGTGGATCAACGATGTCTGCTATGCGAATGGCTGCTTCAAAGGCTTGAACAGAGGGTTTACAGAGGATTTGAGTGGTTGTATCTGAAGAAGGGTTTAGTGTTTCAAAGCAAATGATTCCTTCAAAACAGTCCTCTAGACCCAAACGGTTAAGTGTTCTTGTTGCATGAGCTTTGTCTGCATTAGTAAAGATCTGATGGAAAAGAACAAAAAGAATTAAACATTTAACTTATTCCCAAACTTTAAATAGCTGTTATACAAATAATTTTATTAAAGATTAATATGAAAATGAAAATGTCAATAGTAAACTTACGATTTTACGGTGAGGCATAGAGAGAAGAAGGTTGCGGAGAATGGGATCAGGTTTTAGTTTCTCGTAGGGAAGTCTTCCATGGACATATTCATGGAACTCATCGTTGTCAAACTCATAACCCATAACCTGTTAACACACGGTTCTTTTTTTGTTATAGGTTCAAGAATGTTTATGAAATGGATGAGAGAGTTGACATACCTTGAGACCAGCCATGGTGGTTCCATATTCTTTGTAAAGATCAAGACACATCTTTGGAACCTCACTCTCTTTGATTCCTAGTTGGTTAAGCATGAACTCTGCATATAAGAACAATATAATATTAATTAGTATATAATTAAAGAGTTTATACAAAGATTCAATAACGTTAGACTCTTTTCCTTGGATATTGTGTCGACAAGCTAAGTTGATTCCAATGCTCAAAGGGTATAGCGTATCGTCCATATCTATATCAACAACAATAAAAACAGAGTTTTAATTACTTTTTCAGAAACTGCATAGAGAGAAAAGATATGTTGAAGAAAATGTGTGTTTATATATGTATGTATTACCAAAGAACAAACACTCGTACTTTGCTCCAAATTCATCCATCCTCAGTTTCGTGAAAGAGAGTTATAAGAAAAAAAAGAGAGAGTTAAAGAAATATTTAGTGATAGAGAGAAAGTGTATGATCATTTGTGCATGAACTGGCTATATTTATAAATGTAATTTCATAAAAGCGGACACGTATAATATTAGTATTATCTTACTTTATGTTTTGTTTTGCAAATCCATAATATTTATTTTTCTTGTTAGACGTTGCATAAATAATTACTTGAAAACTTTAATAAGCGCACACGAGTTGTCAAGTGGACTCAATACATGTGTCTGTAACTGTATGGAATATCCTAAAAGTATACTATTATTCTAAAAGAATTATCCCTAGTATATATGTCTGAAAATATATGCACGATAAACTTTTCTGATTATTTATTGGGATTGTCTCTTTTTAAAGAATAACATTATTGTCTGTAATTTTCTGTAAACGGTACAATGGATTGCACTAATATGAAATATTTAAATAAAGGATGATAGTTGATGGTGACTTGGTGATTATGATAGTGATCCACCATATCCTTCACATGCTGCTGATGCGTGCAACAAAATGAGGTGTTTAGCATGTACAAATACTTTGATCATTCATATAATTTTCTTAGTCATTTCGCACTTTCCGTGATCTTCCATTTCCATAAACAATATACAAGAAAAAAATGTAAAAATAAAGGTAAACACTGAAAAATTCTGGAATGTCAAATGTACATATACAGAACAAAAAGAGTAAAAAGTATCATGCAGTACGTTGTATCTTTCACCAAAGTGTTCACTATATATGCTGAGGAACATTATCTTAAATTCTTAACTAATATTCTTCTTCCTGAAGTTCATTTCACCAAAATGTTCACTATATAGAGCTCGATCCATATAGTCCAACCCGATCCGGCCCAAAGTTGGCCCATCGATCTGGTCCAAAATTGACCATCGATCCTTGCCCGAACATTTCGAGATTGATGCCAAAGAGCCATCAGCTCGAGGGGGCGTATTAGGGACAAAGTCCCACATCGGAAGTTGGAAGGGATTCTATCTAGTATATAAGATAGATGGGCCACTCCACTTATCACCAATTGGTTTTAGGTTGGAAGCCCATCTAGCTTAACAATATATGCTGAGGAACATTATCTTAACTAATATTCTTCTTCTTGAAGTTCAGTTTTTTCTATGACAAATTAAATATTGAAGGGTGGGTACTATGTTAGAAACAATCACTAAATTAACAATACATCGATAACGAACTCAGAACGAGAACACTAGTATATATTTCCAATATAAGAATGAAAACGAATCATATCTGTATATAATATACCATGAATGAATTGTTATCTGATTCAGAGAGCACGTAATATTATAATAATCGAAGATATGAAAGCCTAAACCTAATTAAAAATTATAATACTGATGAGGCTTATGTGTTCATTTTCTTATGCTGCAGTCTTGGACTAAAATGGTCTCGTTTTCTTTCGGATACCGTAAGTGTCATCGTCTAATATGTAAAGCTAACGTAATTAATACTATTAAACATCTTAGTGAATGTTCGAAGTGCGCATATACCAATATAAATATTTTTAGTTACATTAACAGAAAATATTTGTGGCGTTACAGACATCCATATAGAATTGTTCGTATATGTAAAATTTGAAGAAACGAATCATAGTTAAAAAAAAAAAGACATATGAAAGGGTATCAGCTGTTCTGTTTGAATAAGAGCCTACAAGAAAAGTTTGAAATTAAGAGCAAACAAAGAAAAAAAAGACATAAATGGGTATCAGCTATTCTGTTTGAATAAGAGCCTACAAGAAAAGTTTTAAAATAAGGGCAAACAAAGAAAAACGTGTAAATTCAATATTAAGAAACCAATTTAATTTATATAAATAATATATTTGTTAGTTTTAAATTTATAATTTAAACACTAGTACTAGTACCTAGTAACTAAATTAATTTCATAGATAATTTTTTTTTGTAGTTGGTGACCAGTTCAAATTAACAAACAACAGTCTAATCAATTTTAACTATTTTCTCCATATAATAGCTAAAAACTTGATTTCCCTGGGAAATTTTGAATATCCATAATCAAATCTAGAAAAATTAATTGAAATTTTCTGTAAGAAATATTTAATTTAAAGAATGGTATCCGAGTTTTCCAAATGGACAAATTATTCATGAAGAAGATAAGGAATTAAATAAAATTTTAAAATATATATGGAAATAAATACCGGATTCTATTCAGTTAGATTTATACAAAACAAACGTATTCAATTTCGTCACGAAGTCATAATTATTACAAAGCTTCGTTTTCTGTTTTCTTTTCTTTTTTATTACAACAAACTCATTTTATTTTAATTTAGAGTAAAGAATAATCGAAATCATTCTTTAAGCCAAGTTTAAGCGCGAAATCAATCTTTAATAATCCAGGAGCTCCAGAAACTTTGCTTGTTTGCGCCGGAGGAGAGGAGATGAGGAGCTTGCTGTTGTGGACTGTGTGCTCGCTATGTTCAGTCACGGCGGTGGTTCGAAGCGCATCTAAGGTTTCAATGGTGCCTCTGACCTTGATTCATGGAGCTGACTCCAAAGGAGCAGTGTGTCTAGATGGGACGTTACCTGGTTATCATCTACATCGTGGTTTTGGTTCAGGTGCTAACAGTTGGCTTATCCATCTTGAGGTTTGTGCATCTCTTTGACTTTTCTCATGTAATCTTGATTCTTGAATGATTATACAATGAATTAGAAGTTAGAAGCAGACTCATTTCATTACTCAAATATTGGATGGTGTGGTAGGGTGGAGGATGGTGTAACGATCATAGTAGCTGTGTGTTTCGTAAAACAACTCGTCGTGGTTCCTCTAAGTTCATGGAGAAGGCTTTGAATTTTACAGGAATATTGGGCAATAAACCTCAAGATAATCCTGGTTAGTCCAGAGTATCATTATCATCATCATGACATGTGGTTATAAATGTACATTATTGTATTAATTTTGATTACTTGTTGGTGGCTTTTGTAGACTTCTATAACTGGAACAGAATCAAGTTGCGTTACTGTGATGGTGCGTCTTTCTCTGGGGATAGTCAGGATGAGGTTAGTTTTATATTCTCTGAACGAATATGATTTTTGTTTTTATAATATGTTTACAACGACTTTATATCATAGGGTTCACAACTTTTCTATCGAGGAAAACGAATCTGGCAAGCAGCTATGGAAGAGTTCATGTCTCTAGGAATGCAGAAAGCAGACCAGGTTTTTTTTGTTGCATTTATTATTTATTTTTGCTCTGCTTTTATGTTCTGTTTTAACTTCTTATCTTAATCACTTGCAAGTGTACAGGCTCTGCTTTCTGGGTGTTCAGCGGGAGGATTAGCTTCTATCTTACACTGTGATGATTTCAGAGAACGGTTACCTATTTCTACAAAAGTAAAGTGCTTAAGTGATGCTGGAATGTTTCTGGATGCGTAATTTTCTCTTCATCTTTTGCCTTTTTTTTTTTGGTTAGGAGAAGTATTAGTTTTATAGAAAAATATTTAAACTTGAAATGTTGTGATTAAAATGCAGTGTGGATGTCTCTGGGGGACATTCTCTTAGGAATATGTACCATGGTGTTGTTACAGTCCAGGTAGTTCTCAGATTTTGAATTAGAGTGTAATACAGCTAAACATTATCATATGCTTATTGTAGCTCATTTAAATACTTTTTAATTTATAGAACCTCCAAAAGGACTTGTCTAGTACATGTACAAACCATTTGGATCCTACTTCGGTAACATATCTTTTCACTTTATTAACACCACTGTTTGATCAGCAAAGTTATCAGTAGACAAGGCTTGAGTTGATGTTATTCTTTGTGCCCCTTTTCTCTTCAGTGTTTCTTTCCTCAGAACTTGGTTTCAGACATCAAAACTCCTATGTTTCTTCTCAACTCAGCATATGACTCATGGCAGGTAAATAATCAATGTCTCTTTCTTGTATCTACCTCTTAATCTAATCGACAATGCTTCCTCAGGTCCGACAGAGCTTAGCTCCTTCATCTGCTGATCCAAGAGGCTTCTGGAAGCATTGTAAATCAGATATCTCGAGTTGTAATTCATCACAGATTCAATTCTTACAAGGTAAAAAAATGTTACTATTAGTTACTGTCACACTCTTTACTCACTGATTGTTTTTATGTCCACCAAAATAGAATTCAGGAAACAAATGGTCGTTGCTTTAAACTCATTCTCAGCAACTCCACAGAACGGTCTTTTCATAAACTCTTGCTTCACGCATTGTCAGTCTGAAACACAAGACACTTGGTTTGCACAAAATTCTCCCAAGTTAAACGGAAAAGTAAGACTACCCTTCATGCGGTTTCTAACTCATTGTAGCAATCACTTCAAATTTGTTAAACTCTCCTCATGACATGATTGTCTTTTTTTTTTTGGTTTGGCAGAGAGTGGCAGAGTCTGTAGGTGACTGGTATTTCGACCGAACCAACAATGTCAAAGCCGTTGACTGTCCTTACCCATGCGACAAAACATGTCACCACCTGATTTTCCAATAAACTTAGTTCAATATTTGTGTTAAAATAAGCTTTATACAGCTCTATAAATCTCAGATTCTTCAAAGATTAGTGCTTCTTTGGTCCCTCTAGTGTTTGACAAAAACTCTTACCTCAGATTCTTTAGTTTAGTAGGTATAGAGTCAGAAAACCTTATTCTTTTCATACCTCTTTAAGTTATTTATAACTAGTGGTGGGCACGGATCGGATATCCGGGTTTTTTAAGGTATTTGTGATTTGCTTCGAATGTTACGGATATCTAATTTTGGTATTTGCTTTGCTTCGAAAAAATACGGATATCCGGAAAAACGGATATCCGGAAAATAAATAGATATTTGCGGATATTTACGAATATTTACGGATATCTCATCAATTTTGATTAATACAAATAATCTTAAGATTTTGATACAAATTTGCTTTGCAAAATATTTTTTTGCATGATATATAAAATAAAACTTAAAATAACTAGTGAATTTATATATTTTGTAATTTTTTAAGCTTAAGTTACAATTATAATAACACAC